TAAGTCTCTGTGTGTTTACTTGGTTGGGTCTGAGCAGCTGCGGGACTGGCAGGTGAGAGAGATTTGTCCTGACCATGGGCCAGGCAGGACCAGGAAAACTCTAACTACACCTGACCATGTATAGAATCCCTAATATGTAGAGGAGATATTACTGTTAATATTCACATCTCATCTTTTCCTCCACAGATATTACATCAATAGCTCGGACTATAGCATTTTTAGTACCAGGAGTTCTGTAAGTATTGAACATTTTTAAAGAACATTGGTATTTTTGAACCTTCAAAGAGTTAGTCATACTCTGTTTTATAGATGTTTCATCTGTATCTCCTTTTTCTTCTCATTATCATTATCACCTTACTGTTAGTACCCTCTCTGATACATGCCCTTAAATGTGTACACAGTGCCATGTCTCACATGGCTTGGATCTGGAACCCTGACTCAAGGGAGGACAGACATGCATGATAAAGACGTGGCCAGGTAGGCTGTGACTCTAATGGAGTTGCACCTTCTAAGGCAACAACCTGGAGCCTCAGCTTGTTTCTTTTTTCTTTTTTTTTTTTAAGAGATTTTTCTATTCATTTTACATATCAACCATGGATTCCCCGTCCTCCCTTCTCCCCCCACCCCATTCTTTGAGGGGGGGTGTTTTTGTTTGTTTGTTTTGTTTTGTTTTGGGGTGGTTTTTTTTGCAGCCTCAATTTTTATTACATTAAGATTACTTTTTATTACATTTATTTATTTATTCATTTATTTATTCATTCATTTATTTATTTATTTATTTATTTATTTATTTGAGACAGGGTCTTTTTAAAAATATTTTTATTTTATAATTTAATTTTGCATATCAGCCACGGATTCCCCTGCCCTCCCTCCTCCCACCCCCCTGTTTGTTTGTTTTGTTTTTGTTTTTTGTATGTTTGTTTGTTTGTTTGTTTGTTTGAGACAGGGTTTCTCCGTGTAGTTTTGGTGCCTGTCCTGGGTCTCACTCTGTAGCCCAGGCTGTTCTCGAACTCACAAAGATCTGCCTGCCTCTGCCTCCCAAGTGCTGGGATTAAAGGCATGTGCCACCACCACCAGGCCAGCCTGTTTTTTATGCACAAAACAGGGGAAGGGTTTGCTAGTCTGTGTAGGAAGTCCCCATAGGTGAGCAGTCTCAGGCTGTAAACATGAGAGGGGGAGGCTGCAGTTGCTAGTGTTCGCACACACTGAACAATTGTCTGTGAACACCCATCCATGGACCAGAGGAAGATGACTTTGCCAGCTTTGAGTCTGACCCCTATGGGGAAAGGCTTTGCCAGTTTCCTGTGCTCCAGAAGCCCTGGTCCTTGTCACGGCTGTGCCCATGTCTACAATACACATTCACTTAGGATTTCATTCATTCAAGGCTTCCTCAGCTCCTTATAATGTAGCAAAAAAAATAAATAAGAAGCCCAGTGGTGGTGGCGGCGGCTGCGGCGGCAGCGGCGCATGCCTTTAATCCCAGAACTCAGGAGGCAGAGGCAGGTGGATCTCTGTGAGGGCAGAGGGCAGCCTGGTCTACAGAGTGAGTTCCAGGACAGAGAAACCCTGTCTTGAAAAGCAAAAAACAAAACAAAACAAAAAAATAAAAATTTAAATAAGTTTTAAAAATAGGCAGTGTTATTTCATGTGTTTTGTGATTTAATAGTCACAAAAGTTATGATATATACATATATGTTATACATACTACATTGCCTATTGAGAAAGAGAATAATAACTATTATTCAACAGATGTAAATTACAGCAGATGTAAACCAGAGCTATAAATGTAGGGCCCTCTCAGCTATAGACCTCAGCCTCTGTATTACTTTTTAAACAATTTAATACCATATCTAGCTCATTTCTCTCTTTTTAAAAATTGTATGTATATGAGTATTCTACCTGCATATATGTATGTGCACACCTGTCTTCAGTAGCCTTGGAGGCTTTGGAACCCCTGGAAGCTGCAGTTATAGGTAGTTAGTTGTGAGCTGTCCTTTGGATGCTGGGAACCAAACTTGGGTCCTCTACAAGGGCTACAAGGGCTACAAGGGCTCTTTTTTTTTTTTTTTTTTTTTAACTACAAGGGCTCTTAATGGCTGAGCTCTCTCTCTCTAGCCCCATAGTTCATTTCTCTTAATCTGTCTACTGACACTGATAATTTATGAATTGAAACATTGCTTATTTGTTTATTTATGATGTGTGTGTGTGTGTGTGTGTGTGTGTGTGTGTGTGTACATTTCTCATTGTTATAAAGTTGTTTCCTCTGTGTAGCCTTAGTGTTTCTCTTCGGGAGTCTGGTGAGTTTGAAAGTGTTAGGCCAGCCCAGCCAGCTAGAAATGCAAGCAAGTGTTAATGCCGTGCTCTTGAGACAGCATTCGGCTCCACGAACCTGATGTTGCTCTTAAGGCTATGAAGAGTATTTTCTCATATTTAAAATTGATTACAGATGTAAATCATATCTACAACTTGCTATAATTAGTCAAATTCACAGGAAAATCTGACATCCTATTTTTACGATATAGATTTTGTTTCTTTATTGGAAAAAAATCTATTCGTTTGTTTATTCAATTTACATGTGTACATGTTCATGTGTGTACACATATTTGTTCAGGTGTATATGTACATACATGTTCATGTAGAGGCCAGAGGTCAACATTGGATGTCTTCTTCAATCATTGTACACCTTTTAAAAAATGATTTGTTTGAAAAAAAAATGATTTGTTTGTATGAATGTTTTGCTTGCATGTATATATGTTTACCATGTATATGCCTCATGCCTGTAGAGGCCAGAAGAGGATGTTGGGTCCCCTAGAACTGAAGTCATGGTTGAGAGACACCACCAGGTCCTCTGCAAGAGCAACAGCTGCTCTGAACCCTGAACTGTCTCTCCAGCCCACTTATTATTATTTTTTTTTTTTTGAGACACAGTCTCTCACTGAAACTTGGCTTCTCTGATTGGCTAGACTAGCTAGGCACCAGTTATCAGGGATTCTTTGGTCTCTGCTACCACAATTCTGGGATTACAGATCTTACTCCCCTGCCCAGCTTTTTATGTGAGTGTTGGGGATTCAATTTAGGTCTTCATGCTTGCATGGTAAGCACTTTACCAGCCAACTATGCCGTCTCTCAAGCCCTGTAGGGAAATCTTTGTCTGTCTGTTTGTTTAATAACTGTAGGTCCAGGATGTAAACAGATGTTTTCTGTCCCAACTGCCTGTTCCCAAATACCCAGCAGCTGCTTCCCAAATTACCACACAGAGGATTATGTTAATTATAAATGTTCAGCCAATAGCGCAGGCTTGTTACTAACTAGCTCTTCTATTTTAAGTTAACTCATGTTGCTTATTCATGCTCTGCTATGTGGCAGTCCTTTATTAGCATGGCACGTTCATCTCCTGCTCCCTCTGCATCTGGCTGGTGACCCTCTTGACTCCACTCCTCTCCCTCCCAGCATTCCCAGTTTGGCTCTCCCACCTAACTTTATTGTGTTCAGCTTTTGGCTTGTCAGCTTGTTTATTAACCAATGAGAGCAACACATATTCATCACTTACAGAAGGATTATTCCACAGTACCAGGAGAAGCTGCAAAGAAATATGAGAAGAACCCTTCACTTAGTTCCTCTCAATAGTAACATCTTGTATAATTATCATAAAATACTCAACCCAGGAAACTAACATTGGCACAATATTGAATGTATTCAGATTAATTTCCTCATGCACACATTTGAACATACAGCTTGGTGCAGAAACTGTTCTGGCACTTGAAGGCTCCTTGCTGCTGTTCTCATACAAGATACACTTGATACCTGCTCTCCAATCCTGTTCCCACAAGCTAGTTCTCCTTTTCTGTATTTTGTGTAAAAATGTTTACAGTTACATAAAACATCGTAACGCCCTTCTGTGGTGGGCTTTTTAACTACCATCATTCCAATCATGTCCATCCAAGTTGCTCATTCAGTAGTCCATCCCTCTTCTGCTTTGAACCAAGGGCCTCAAGCGATATAGCATCAAGCTGCATCTCTGTTCCATTTTAGACTCACTTCCTTTTATCTTTTACTTATTCTATGACAAGTCTATCCCAAACCCTCCTGTCACTTCCCGTTGCTACTCCCCCAACATGTTCCCTTACCACCTTCATTGTTGTTGATTTTTCTTAAACCTCTCTGAGTCCACTTAGTGCCACCTGGTTGGATGTCTACTGATTATGCTGGCTTGATCTTGTACAGGGTGGCCATAACTACAACAGTCATGTCCAGAAGACAGCACTTTACAGGACTCCTCTCCTTCTTCCAGCTCTCCACATCTTCCCATCTCCACTTCCTCAATGTTCCCAGAGCTTGTGGGGGTTTGAGGTGTCCCATGTAGGGCTGAACACTCAGCAATCCATTCTCAGGACTTTGACTACTTGTGATTCTCTGCATTAACTGCATTAACTTCAGTGGTTGGGTAAATCTGTGTTCTTTCATAGATACCATATTTCTCATCGCCTCTTTTCTGGCAACTGTGTGATTTGACTGTGATGCTTTTCCTGTTGATTTTTCTCTCCAAAGGGATTTTATTTTATTTGTAATTGGATGTGTTATTATGTGCTTGGGGAGGGGCACATGCCATGGCATTCCTGTGAAAGCCAAAGGACAACTTTGTGTGTGTGTGTGTGTGTGTGTGTGTGTGTGTGTATGTGTGTGTGGTGTGGTGTGTGTGTATGTATGTATGTGGTGTGTGTGTATGTGTGGTGTGGTATGTGTGTGTGGTGTGTGGGAGGGATGTGTGGTGTGTGGAGGGGATGTGTGGTGTGTGTGTGGGATGTGTGGTGTGTGTGTGTGTGGTGTGATGTATGGGTGTGGTGTGTGTGTGGTTTGGTGTGTGTGTGTTGGCATATCTGGAGGGCAGAAGAGGAAGTAGGATCCTATTAACTGGAGTTACAGTGACTTATGAGCCTGATAGGGATGCTGGGAACTAAACCCCAGTCCTCTGCATGAAAAGCAGTCTCTCCAGCCTCAAGTATATTGACTGCTGATGTGGGACAAGCAGTCCTTGTTTTTTGACATTGTGCTTTGCATAATATCAAAGGAACTGAATCTTAGTTGTTTTTTTAAAGCAATAAAAACCAGATAATTGAACCCACAACTGAACACCAAGATGAACAGTGTTTGTTTTGTTTTGTTAACATGAACTTTCATCTCCTTTCTAGATTGAGATAGAGTATGAAGGGCCATCTTTTTCAATATGGAGATTGTCAAGAACTTGTAAGATTCAAAGCTTAAGGTAAGATGTTTTTTGCCATATATATGTATACACACATGTGTCTCTCTCTCTCTCTGTGTGTATCCATTTCTCCCCTACGATGTAAAAAATGACATTCATTCACATAATGCAGATGTTCAGACTCAAAGCCCTGACGTCAGGTAAATTTCCTTCCACTAAGCACATGTGAAAAGAAAGGCTACCTTACTTTGAAAATGGAAGTAAAATGTGCTGTGGTGGTTTGAATGAGAATGTCCCCTCCCCTCCAATAAGCTCATATATCTGCATGCTTAGTCCCCAGTGGAACTGTTTGGAAGGATTAGGAGGTGTGTCCTTGTTGGAGGAGGTGAGTCACTTGAGGTGGGCCTGAAAGTTTCGAAAGCCCATGCCTGGCCCAGTGTCTTTCGGCCTGCTGGGTCTCGATGTAAAGCTCTCACCTGCTGCTCCACTGCCATGCCTGTCTGCTCTCCACCATGATGATAATAGACTAACCCTTTGAAACTGTAAGCAAACCCCAATCAAATGCTTTCTTGTACAAGGGTTGCTTGGTCATGGTGTCTCTTCATAGCATTAGAACAGTGACTAAGACAGTTGTTATTTTAGAGTTTTGTTTTTTTTTTCTTATTCTAGCATACAATTAAATTGTTTAAGCTTAAAAGTTGTGGGTGGAGTTTTAATCAGCCTCAAATACATTTTAATGACTTCTTCTTTGTTCTTTTTGAACACTAGGTCACCTAGGACAAAATTACATTGTACTGCTCCTGGCGTTCATTCTTTAAGACCTGAAGCCAAAAACCGAGTAAGTTGGTTTTAGTGACGTTTTATTGACTCTTGAAAACTAATCACTGTTACATTCTCATTTGGCCTTTCTAACACAAATTGTCTTAAATAGTCTTAGTCATAACTACAAATAAGAGCTATTTTAAAATTACAGTCACTCTGTCATTATTTTTTATCTCAGAGTATAAATTGTGAAATGATATCTGATTTTTACTTCAGTTTCCTTTTTTATTTGTTCATTAATCCATTCATGATGCTGGGGATGAAACTAAGGGCCTTGTGCATGCTTGGCAAAGACTGTACCATTCATCTAGCACCTCAACCTTACTGTTTGGCCTTGTCATCAGTTAAGTATGCTGGCATCCTGAATGGTAATGGTACTCTCAGGTGAATGTTGTGTGATATTTTGTTTGCGTTTTGACAATGCTTGCCTGGAGACCAGAGGGCAGAGCTAGCCACTAGTTAACCATAGAGGCCTAGCAGTGGTGACTCATGCCTTTAATCCCAGCACTTGGGATGCAGAGACAGGAAGTGATAAGGTGAAGTAGAGACAGGATCTCAGCCCTTGTGGTCAGAGGATCTGGAGAGATAGGAAGTCACTGGTGGCTGTTCCTCTGCTTCTCTGATCTTTCAGTTTATTACGCCGATATCTGACTACTGTTTTTTGTTTGTTTGTTTGTTTGTTTGTTTGTTTGTTTTTGTTTTTTCGAGATGGGTTTTCTCTGTGTAGTTTTGGTGCCTGTCCTGGATCTCACTCTGTAGACCAAGGCTGGCCTCGAACTCAACAGAGATCCTCCTGGCTGTGCCTCCCGAGTGCTGGGATTAAAGGCATGTGCCACCACCACCCAGCTTGACTACTGGTTTTTACTGATAAGATTAATTAGATTAGTGCTTCATCTGTCATCCACCTTTTGGGGCACAAATTCACAAAAAAAGCCACTAGCCTATGGCTTTGCAGCCATTGGCACATACCGGAGCAGCATGCAGGGCTTTCCACCAGAGTCACCACCCTACCGGCTAGGTTTTCCTTTTTTAACCCCAGGCCCTCTTAGTGAGTCTGGGGTTTTTCTGTTGCAGCCTCTCTACAGCAATCGCCACAGGCACTTGGGCTCCAAATGCTACTGGAGTTGGCCTCTTTCATGCAATCCCACAAGCAGACAGCTGGTTCTTTGGCTCTTTTTTCCTGTGGGTTGTGGGCTTTCCCCGGACCCACTCCTCCACTCCCAGCGACATGCTAGCAGCTGCAGCGGTCCTCAGCCAAGCTGTGCGCCTCCTGTGCTCTCCACTCAGACATGCTGCACAGCAGCAGTCAGCCTCACCCTTCACCCAGCAGCAGCAGCAGCGGCGGCAGATCTGGTGAGACAACTGGAAATTCTTAAAGCGAATTAGATTTAAAGAAAAGAGTTTTCCCCACATAAATAATGGGAAATGGTATTATGATGGAGGGAGTTAGGTCTCTGTATGATTACACACTGGATGGTTTTAAAATGAAACAATTAAAGGAGGGGATAATTAACTTAGCTATGATTTACATAATGTTAATTATAGTCATTATCAGTTTGATAATTCTTGTTTTATTCCTAAAAAAAAGTTGGTTGATATGAGTGCCAAGATACAGGCCTTAGAGAAGGCTATATTGGTAATATGCATGCCTTACTAATAATTACTAAGGAGAATAATACAATTTTGACTGACAAGATAAAAGCTTTAGAAATATTCACTGCTGAAGAGAACAAAAAGGTGACTGATAATATGCAAACCTTAGAAAAATTTACTATTCAAAAGTTACAAGCCTTAGAAAAAAACTTATTAAAACAGATAATAGAGATATTCAGAACCAGACAGAGGAATTTAAAGGAGAACCAACCTCAACATTACATTATAAAATTAGAGAGGAAAAGCCCAAGGTTATCAAACAACCAACCTTAATTTATCCAGTCTCCTTATGGGAACAATTGCCAAATGACAGATATCCCCAAGGCTGTGTAAGAACAGACTGGAATCCTGTGAAAATGTTAGATCTGAGGAGATTTAAGGAAGTGATAGTCTCATATGGTGTGCATTTACCTTTTGTGAAGAAGATGTTAAATTCATGGTCAACTAGTAACAGAATTGTCCTACAAGACTAGAAAGACTTAGTTACAGCAGTCTTGGAGCCTGATCCTCAATTATAGTAGAAAGATGAGGCTAGGACCATTAACAATGAAGTAAAGCTAGGGGTATTGAAATCTCCCAAGACCAACTTCTTGGAGACAATGATTATGCAGATATACAAAGACAGTCTCTATATGATGACCATATCCTGGTTCTATGCCATGCAGCAGCTTTGTTGAATGCTTGGGACAGAATTGAAGAAGTCAAAAGGAGAACTGAGTCATTTAGTAAAGTTAATCAGGGCTCAAAAGAAACCACTGAATTTTTACAAAGATTGACTTCAGCTGTAAATAGAAGGATACCAAAGTCAGAAGCTAGACAAATAATAATTGAATCTCTGGCTTTTGAAAATGCTAATCATGGGGCTGGAGAGATGGCTCAGAGGTTAAGAGCACGGGCTGCTCTTCTAGAGGTCCTGAGTTCCCAGCAACCACATGGTGGCTCACAACCATCCGTAATGAGATCTGGTGCCCTCTTCTGACATGCAGGCATAATGCAGGCAGAACATTGTATACATAATAAGTAACTAAATTAAAAAAAAAGAAAAAGAAAATGCTAATTCATAATGCAAAAGGGTAATTAGGCCTTTAAAGGCAAGATCAGCACCCATAGAGGAATGGATCTGACATATAGTCAGTACTGAATCTGATAACCATGACGATGCTTGGATAGGAGAGGTGATTTCTAGAGGTTTGAAGAAAAATCAAAATGTCAAGTGTTGTAATTGTGACAAACAAGATCACCTAAAAAGGGACAGTAAACAGGGCATTCCTAGAAACAATGTTGTTTTCTAGGAATAATCCAAACAGAAAGCCCCTCCCTTCTGGAGTGTGCAGAAGGTGTGGCAAAGGTAGACATTGGACCAATGGATGCAGATCAACAAGGGACAGACATGGTAACCCTTTGCCATTGGGAAATGCCTTGGGGGGCCTCTCACAGGCCCCCATGTCAAACTTGGTTCAGTCATTCCCTGTCACCATGGGGGAAACTCCTCCCCAGAGCAATTAAAGGACCTAATGCCTATTGTAAAACAAACAAACAAACAAACCATACTGCCCTGGATGATAGAACAGCTTTAGAAGATAACACAAAAATTTCAGGAGAAACCATAAAGCAAATATTTTGGTAGACTTCCATAAATGATCAAAGACCAAAGCTAAAATATGAATAAATGACATTGTAATTAAATGTTTTGTAGACACAGAGGCAAACGTAACATTATTGCACCTGAATCTGGGCATCCAAATTTTTCTCTTTAGGAGGTAAATGTTCAGCTTTTAGGGATTGGAACTTTATTTCAGGTAAAACAAAGCATGAGATGAGTCAAATGTATAGGGACAGAAGGACAGAGAGGAAAATTATAGCCATATGTGTGTAATATAGCAATGAATTTATGGGGACATGATTTGTAACAGCAATGGAATACCCAAATTAACATTCCTTCAATCTCAGAAACAAACCATAAACTAATGTATGTTTCTGGGGAAAATATTAAAAGGTATTATAAAGAACAGTCACCGACCATTCAGGTTGTACAAAAACAGGGCATAACAGCTATTGATCATTCAAAGGTACCAACAATTTAACATGGTTGACTGACAAAACAGTCTGGTTGGAACAATGGCCTTTGACATGAGAAAAATGACAGGCCTTAGAACAGCTAGTACAGGAGCAGCTAAATGCTCAATATATTGAATCAATCAGTCCTTGGAATTCTCCTGTATTTGTTACTAAAAAGAAATCTGGGCTGGGCAGTGGTGGTTTAATCCCAGAACGCAGGAGGCAGTGGTAGGCAGATCTCTGTGGGTTCAAGGCCAGCCTGGTCTACAAAGTGAGTTCCAGGATAGGCTCCAAAGCTACACAGAGAAACCCTGTCTTGAAAAACAAAAATAAAAACAAACAAACAAACAAACAAATAAATCTGGGAAATGGAGACTGTAACAGATCTAAGAGCTATTAATAAGGTGATTGCAGGCTCTTTATAGCCTGGAATTCCCCTGCCATTCCTATAGGGTGGTCTATAATAATTATTGATTTTAAAAGATTGTTTCTTCACTATACTTTTACAAGAAAAAGATAGAGAAAAATTTGCCTTCATGGTGCCAAGTTACAATAATTACCAGCCTGTTAAGAGATATCAATGGAAGGTTCTCTCACAAGTGGATTAACAACTAAAGAATTGAGTAATTTGTTTCAAACCTTACAAGGTGACAAGGACTTAAATAGTCCAAGAAAATTATCAGCTGAAGCTGAGAGAGAATTGGCTTTAGTAGAAAAGAAATTCCAGGATGCATATGTGGATCATTTGGATTCAGAGCTTGATTGCATTCTGGGTATTTAACCTTCTATACATTCCCCTACAGGAATTTCAATGCAGAGAGAATATAATATCTTAGAATGGAATTTTTTATCACATAAACATAGTAAGAAATGAATGACCTGTGTAGAAAAGGTTTATCAGTTGATTCTAAAAGGAAAATTGAGACTTCATCAATTAGCAGGAATACACCCAGCAGAAACTATAGTTCTTTTTTACTAATGCTGAAATTTCCTCTTTATGGGCAGAAAATGAACATTGGCAAAGAGTTTGCAGTATTTTTGGGAGATATTAACAACAAATATCCCAAAAGCAAAATAATTCAATTTATGAAGAGAACTAACTGGATTCTACCATACATTGTAAGGGGAACACCAACATTCTATACATTCTGTATTGATGGCAGGTTATAAATGAGGAAATTTGAATAAAGTAGCTCAAAGCCCTTCTGAGTCTCTACAAAAGTCATAATTATATGCTATTCTCATGGTATTATCAGATTTTTCCAGAACCTCTTAATATAGTTACTGACTCTCAATATGTAGAAGGAGGTATTTTACATATTGAAATTGCTGAATTTATTCCAGATGATATAAAATTTACTTTGTTATTTATTCAGTTACAAGAAATAATCAGAAATAGAACTCATCCCTTATATGTAACACATATTAGATCCTATACGGGTCTACCAGGCCCTCTAGCACAAGGTAATGATGAAATTGATCAACTATTAATAGGAAATGTGCTAGAAGCCTCAGAATTTTATTTAAAAAAATACCATGTCAATAGCAAGGATTTGAAAAAAAAGATTTTTCTATCACTTGGCAACAAGCCAAGGAAATTATAAGAAAATGGCCCACTTATTCCTTGTATAGGCAAATTCCACTACCTGCAGGAAGTAACCCAAAGAGTACTCAAAGAAATGCAATTTGGCAAATGGATGTGTTTCATTTTGTAGAGTTTGGAAAATTAAAATATGTATACCATACCATAGATACATATTCAAGATTTCAATGGGCAACTGCTTTGAGTTCTGAAAAGGCTGATTCTATAATCACACATTTGTTAGTAGTTATGGCCATCATGGGGATACCTGTACAAATTAAGACTGACAGTGCTCCAGCATATGTCTCTAGTAAAATCAAACGGTTTTTTGCATATTATAACATAAAGCACATTACAGGTATACCACATATTCCTACAGGGCAAGAAGTTATAGAAAGCTCTAATCAAACTCTAAAAGATATACTTAATTAACAGAAAGGGGTAATAAAGACCTACAGAGATAGACTGCATAATGCTTTATTAACTTTAAATTTTCTAAATACTAATGAAAAAGGAATGACAGCTGCAGAGAGACATTGGATAATAGAATAAACTGCTGTATTAAATCAGCCTGTATACTTAAAAGATGTGTTGACCTCAGAATGGAAACTAGGATATGTGTCATGTTGGGGAAGAGGTTATTCTTTTATTTCCACAAGAGAAGAAAAGCTATGGATATCATCAAAATTGATGAAAGATTAGATTCAAACAAAAGAGACATCTTAGTTAGAAGTGGTGGTAGTTCATCTAACAGTATGACCATTCACTATAACTTGCCAAATGAAAACTCCCCAAAATTAGGGTTGGGGCAGGGAATTGTTTTTGTCTTTCCAGGAGA